GAGGCGCCAGTCACTGTGTGCGGCGATATACACGGGCAGTTTTATGATTTGATGAAATTATTTGAGGTTTGTGGTTTAATTCGACTATTTTTTGATTGTGAAAGCAATCGAAAGAAAGCATTGGCATTTGAAGATGGACTTGCCTGCACGTCGGAAGATTTTTCAGACTGCACACTTTTGGGACTCAGCGTGTGCATTTTACAAATTGTAGCGTACATTTTATTATATTAAAATTTTGGCATTCACACTTGTAAAGCGGGTTCTTCCGAGCACGTTTGCCACTGTTGCAGGTAGGAGGATCACCAGCATCCACGAAATACCTTTTCCTGGGCGATTACGTTGATCGGGGTTATTTTTCCATCGAATGCGTGCTGTACTTATGGGCGCTTAAAATCTGTTATCCGACAACATTGTTTTTATTACGCGGGAACCATGAATGCCGCCACCTTACAGAATATTTTACTTTCAAACAGGAGTGTAAGTTTCTTTTTTTCTTCTGTTTGGATCCAGTGGGGCCGAGCATCTATGGTTCGTTTGCTGTTCATCTGTAATTCGTCAGTTCGTTGCGACGGTGGATTGGTACTGGCACGATCGGGAGATTCGCCGCCCAGCGAACCATTCGCGTATTCTTCATTAGGGCGACCCAAGAAGAGGACTCTCTGTGGAAGAGCGATGAATGCTTGCATTTTTTGGGCTGTGATTGGTGGCACCTATGCATTAGAATTGTTAAATCAGACACTGTCGTGTGATTGGCAGCTTTACAACATCTCACATTTCTGCTGCGCATGCGTTTGATCTCTTTGCTGGGTACATCTGCTAATATGCACTCATTTTCATTGAATAATTGTGTTTTCCAGGTAAAATCAAATATTCGGAAAAGGTATACGACGCTTGCATGGATTCGTTTGACGCTCTTCCCCTCGCGGCACTTATGAATCAGCAGTTCCTTTGTGTGCACGGCGGCCTTTCTCCGGAGATTCACACCTTAGAAGATATCAAAAAAGTATTACTTCCTTTGTGCGCATTCATACATTCCTGAGCTTCTCCTAATGGCTAATTACGTGCGCAGCACATTGTCCTTGATAATTTGCTTTTGAACGTTACCACGGGATTTCACAGCACTGTCTGGATGGTGTGTTTTCAGCTCGATCGATTCAAAGAGCCGCCGGCATTTGGACCGATGTGTGATTTGCTCTGGTCTGATCCGCTCGAAGATTTTGGTAATGAAAGGAATTCAGAGCAATTTTCACACAATTCTGTCCGTGGATGCTCCTATTTTTATAGGTTTCTTTTTCTTGCTATTCTTTGTAATGTGTTGTCATTACAGTGTAAGTTGTTTTTGCTGCAAATAATTTGGGGTAAATCTGAGCTGTGATTTGTTAGCAAGCTTTGAGAATGCTCATTGTTTCATGAAAAATAATCAAAGAACTGGTATTTAGGAGCTGAAGGCCATTGTTCCTACAACAGGGCGAGGGCGAGGAGGGCTGGCGGTTGCGTACGGGTGCAGTCGTAATGAACCGTTTCGTTAAGGCGCAGAATATTGAAAATTTTTTTGTTTCAGCTATGCAGCATGTTGTGATTTCTTGCAGCATAATAACCTCCTGTCAATAATCCGTGCTCACGAAGCCCAAGATGCCGGGTACTTTTTAATCTCTGTGCTTGTAAATTTCATTATCATTTTGCTCACACATTCGACTGTCGCCTGATCGTGCTGTTCGTCTTGCAGCGTTCTGAAAAGCGCAGCTCTCGCAGTGTGGCACTTCCAAGGAACCAGTATTTGTGTAGGCTTGGGTAGTTCACGTTTCACGAAATATCTGCAGAGGGGAAATTCCCGTCCCGTTGGGGAGGGAAAAGGCCGCGAACCACTCGTCGATGGCTGGTCTGTTCGAAACATGCTGTTTACACTGATCATCATTATTTATGGTTATTAAAATGTCTGTCAAAGTAAATACGTTTCCGCTTCGTTAATTT